AGTTTTCTTAGAAATTATTTCATGTTACATCTCAGCTATTCGTAGAATGACTTGTGTTCTGCTAGCGGGATTTAAAGCAATCACCTGGCCCTCCATGAAAAGTTCTCTCTCAAATAATCGCTCTCCTTTGAAACATGAAAAGGGATGGAAATAATCTTATTGTCATGAGTATAACCTAAGGCACAAATAACACGATCATAATGAGAAGAACGACATTTAAACGGGCAAAGCTTCGCTGCACCTTAATGTGTCTTCTCTCTTCGCGAGAAGTCGATGAGGTTTCGTTTTGGAGGGACCGTCCTGTAGCCATTTTCTTTTTCATGGTGTAATGCAGAATAACGTATACCTCGATGGTATAACATGAGAACAACAGCGTAGTCGTGAAAGAATAAGTCGATGGCGTCTTTGGTCTTCCGCGGAACACCCATCAGAGGTAAACAACAGATAAACGTGTGATAGAGATATACTGCAACAACGCTAACGAAAGCTTTCTTCTTTGTAATCATGCGGCCGTACTTCAGAGGCGATGCCACCACGATATACTGCGTCAATGTGAAGGCAAAAACGATGGATGCCGATATTGAGACTGGAAATGCCGGAAAATGACCTGCAAATTCCAGCTGAGGAGCACAATTTCTTCTCGAAGGATGCTGAAAGCAAAAAAAGTTACAAGAAGCAAGATGTTGGCCAGGATTGTCACGGGCGAAACTATGATGATAAAGATAGACGAACCAAATGCTGTTTTGGAAAAATTTTCAACATGACCCATCGCGTGCGCTGAAATAACGGAACTACGGTATTCATTTAACGATTCATTTAACAGGTTTGGAATTGGTTGCCTTGAAGAATTTTTGCCAAAGCTAAAGTGGGAGTTGTTGCATGTGGCATTCATCCTTTTCCTAGCCTGGTCTTGCAAACCCAACGTAGTAAATAAATTTCTGCGGCGTGATTAGCAGATCTACGGAAGCCGTTGGTTTATAAGGTGTTTATGTCATGCAATCGATGTTAAAAGAAGCCCGCTTTTAGACCGTTGCATATTTAACAGTGGCCAGTAGGAGAAGAGATAGATATTTTGTTCACACTGATGGTTCAGCAGGACAGAAATGGAAATTCTTTTTCGCTGAGGGTCTTACTCGTCAAAACATTTCCCACGCCTTTTTATCTCTAAAGCCATAAAGAATGAAACTTTCTTAGAGGAGATATCCAAAATGTTATCCTGCATGGTCTTCAAGGGATCCTCCGAGTGTTAAAATAATGTCAGCTCCAACTTCTTTTAATACGTAGTAGTAAGCAATATCTTTCATGGATGGTAAACTCCGCTGCTGAGTACCCATTGAGTCCACATGTTACAGTTGTCTTAATAACACTTTCGTATTATTTTTGAGTTATATTGGAATTATACTTCTTGATTTTCGCGGGCAAAATGTGAAGTAATCACCTCCCTCGTAAATAGTTTCGCTCTCAAAAAGTTGGTTTCATTTCGAGCAGACAAATGAATGCTGTAATTGCCCCTGTTAGCATCCAAAGAAATAATATTAGACTAGTTAAATTATCGCTCGTCGTTCTGAAAAAGAACCACAAAAATATCCTAAACAGCAGCGAAAGGTGTAAGGCTAATCTAAAATGTTAAATATAGCAAAGCTTATTTTCGACGAATAGATGGAGCGCATTCAGGATGGTTGAAACGTTTGGCTTGGTTCTTCTCTCCAAATTTTCTCATTTCACCCATGCATTATATGCATGGGTGAATAATATTATAATGTTGCAATTTCATTAATAAACGATAAGGGTTTTAGTAATAGGTGGTCCAGGGTAGAGCATGTCTATGTTTATCAAAATGTAAAGGATTCTTGTGACGTATTTCATTGTTGAGCGCCATCAATGTGGTTTAACCGCTAAGACAGCGCTGAAATCCATATTTCTATTTCTATTTGGAAATCATAGATAGTCTTGGTTGTAATTCTGGCTTCCTCGCAAGTCCTTTGCGCAGACTGAGGGGATACTTGGAGGGTCCACACCCACTAAGCAACCCCGTCCAACGAGCCTGCCGCTTGGCTTCAAACTATTCAATTCCAGTCTTATTCCGTGTACAGTTTTGGAGGTGAGCAATGTATTATTAATTCTTATAACTTATTCAATTCTATTACTGAACTCTCCTTTCCAGCCAAGCTGCTCTCTCTCTGCCGATATCCTTCTAGCGACAAAATATTCTTCTCAGAGACTCACGGTACTTCGGTATGCGCCACACGTATACAACCGGGTCTAACAGGAATTTCAGGCAAATCAAATTATCGGCAATCAAATTTACTATTTGAACCTTTATTGCACAAGCACCGAATAAGCCCTCCATGAGAAATCTCATTGTCAAGAGTATGATCGAAGGCACGAAAGACACGATCAAAATAATAAGAAGTAAAAAATATTCACGTACAACGCTTCGCTGCACCTTCATATGTCTTCCTTCCTCGCGAGAAGTCGATGAGCTTTCATTTTGAAGCTACAGCCATTTTCTCTTTCGTAGTGTAATGCAGAAAATGTACACCATGATGGTGATGAGAACAACGGTGTAACTGTGAAGAAATAAGTCGATGGCCTCTTTGGTCTTCTGTGGAACACCCATCAGAAGTAAAGAACAGATGAGTGTATGATAACCATCTATTGCACCAACCTTAATGAAAGCTTTCTTCTTTGTAATCATGCAGCCGTACTTCAGAGGCGATGCAACTACGATATATTGCATTAATGTGAAGGCAAAGACAATTGATGGTGATATAGAGACGCAAAACTCTGAAAAATAATGCCCAAATCGCATCCAAGCAACAAATTTTGAAACAGGTGGCATAAGTAGGTTCTTGTACCAATCCAGTACGGAGATCTACTATGGGCGAACCGATGAGAAAGAATGTGGTAGGGTTGCGAAAAATTTTTATTGGATCCAGAAGAAAAGTTCCGAGAAGCAAACTGTCGACCAGGATTGTGAAGAGCGAAACCACGACGTGATGGATGACGCAGAGGCTGCTTTGTAAAAATTTTTAAAAAGGCTCACGACAAGCGGTGACATCACAGAACTTGGTTCAACGCAAATGGCCGAACGATTTTCACTTAATACAACTTCATTTAACAGACTTAGTTGCCTCGAAGAATTAGTGCCAAAGTCAAGGCGAGAGTTATTACGAGTGTCGTTCCTCATTTCCTTCGCCTGGCCATGCAAACAAACGGTGTTAAAGTGGCGAAAGTGTAACAAATCAATTTATGGATCAGCTCCACGGCACCCCGGAGTTTCAGTATTAGGTGTTCATGTTTTTGAAGTAAACTCAAAGGCGGCCACCAACGGTGTTCGAAATTGAATCCTTTGCGATTAGCACTAGATTTTATTAGCTCTAATTTACCACATTTATTACGATTTTTGATGGTCAACAGACTTCGCATTCCTAAACTTTTACTCTTTAGCCAAAGTGCAAGTTTTTGGTTCTTTTATAGGTAGCAATCGTTTGCATGTTTTCCTACAGAAATGTTGACTATTTGAAATCAATAAAAGAGATCGTTGTTGTTGAAGTTTCTGTAAGTTAGGGAAATTTCAATGCCATAAGCAGACAGGTAACCTAACATCAAGAACAGGAAATCAAAGAAATTACATGTTTTAATTTTTTTTTTTTTTGGTCTGGTAAAGATATGTTTTCATTCACTCACTCAGATTCAGCCGTTTATTTTGTCATTTATAACACTGCAATCAGATGAACGAGGCCGAAATTTCTTTTCGCTATCCCCCAAATAAAGAGAGATGGAGAAAAAGCAAATCTCTTTGATTCACGAGCTACAACTTAAATCATTTAATCCAGAGGCTCCAGGTTAACTGATAGCTAAAAGACCGTCCTGTAATAAAGAGGTCTAACTACAAATCTTAAAGTTTCCCATTTAATATTCGCACGTTTACTCGTAACTTATTGCAATGCGATCTTGAAAAGTTCATTTGGAGAGTTCCTAAATTCACGGAACTGCAGAGCCAACTTTCAACTGCGAAAAGTTAAAAATGAGCGTCGGGACGCGATTTTGTATGGGGGGAGGGGGGGGAGTGGACTAAGGCCATCCTCTCCCAGGCCCCAAGCTCAGTCGTCCTTGATTCAAATAGTCAAATTCAATGTGAGACGATGGCTACTTAGCTAGAAACTGTGCGAAACCTGAAGCTAGTATACCGTCCAAATCGATCGCTTTCGTCTAAACCGTCCGAAGTCCGATGTTTCGTCCAAAAACGGACGGTACCGTCCAATACCAGACGGAATCGTCCTCAGTCGCATCCTTCCGTTCGAAATCGGACGTTGCTGTCCGATCATGGACGGTTGTTTTCCCATTCCAAAAGGAATGTGACCGAAGAAGAGTGCAGGGGATTGGAAACGAAAAAGCTCGGTCTGGCCTTGCTACAGCAACACAGCGGTCAAACACCGGTCATGCGCAAGAGTCTCAATAATAAAGTGGTAGACTGAAGTGTTCAGGGATAATTTTATAAAACTGTGTGCTTCAAACTCTTAATTGAGTTATGCTTTATTTTCACTTCGGTGATGAAGGTAAATGACAGAACCTTTCAATTTTCAATCCCTATAGCTCTTCCTAGTCCACTGTACGCGTTAAGCATGCATCTGCTGTCGTCACAAATACCTTGTGCGGCTCTGATTCTTTCTCTTTACACACATTTTCCCTCGGTGTTTACCGACAACTCCTCTATGAAAACATCAAAGAGCAATCCAAACGGCTGAGCTAACTGGCGACTTCGTCACTCCACCGTGCGAAGTGTAAAACAAGTATTGGAGTGTAGACCAGGCACATAAGTCTTGACGTAAGAATTTCGAACTTTCCTCACAAATCACTAAAGACTAGGTCTCACTTCGACTCTTTAAAGAATGCCCTGCGGCTTCCTGTGGCTCAGATCCAAATGCACATGCGCCAACGTTTGACCAGTCGTTTGCCAAATCGTTGACTTCTGTGTTTGCTGCAGCTTAGCAGCCTCGCCTAAAGTGAAATATGTAAAGAAACACCGAGGTACCCTTTTACTTTGCTAAAGTTCTATCTTTTGACCAGAGATCTCAGATATATAGACAGGGATATGCAGATAACTGTCAAAATACTAAATGGCCAAGAAGCGCGTCTAGAGGTAGGTAAGATTTGCTCAGAAAAAAGGAACAGTGTTGCATCGTACGAAGAGGAACAAACGCTCTCCTGAAGAAAGACATACGATATTTTCTTGAACATTAGATTTTTATCTTTACTGTCTTAAACTTAAAGGTCTCTAAGGGTATATGGTTGTCAATGAAGAGGCAGCTTCAAAATCGAAACGTTTACATGTTTGATACAACTTGAAAGCCGTGGACGTGCAGTTAGGAGTCGTTCTGCGACACAGACGGCTGACATCTTGAACTTGCAAGTGGGACTTTGAGCGCGATTCTCAACAAATTTGTGGAAAATTCCGAAAGGTAGCTGATGAGACTTTTGGCCAAGACGAAACGCTCCGTTATACCACCACAAATTATTTTTTTCACAAGTATTTGACAATCTCCTATCATAAAATATAGGTTGCTTCATATTTTAATGGCTGTATTTTGTTTTCTTCTGTTCTTGTGGTTTGATTACAGGTCTCTGCAAGTGATCAGATCTCGCTAGTAAAAAGACAAGTTTATGAAAAGCTTGAAATTCCAGTGTTACAACAGAGATTGATTTTTAGAGGAAAAACTTTACCAGGTATTTTTATAAATGTGGTTAAATTATGGCAGGTTTAAGTTCAATATATTTAAAAAAAGAAAAAAAAAGCAGATTCTTTTGTAAGATATGCACTGTTATCATATGTTTATTTCATGGGGGCAAATGTTTGATTTGCAACTTGTTACAGCACCAAGTTGACAGGAAGTGTTGACTGGAAACAGAAATTTAAACTGAGAGTATTTTTGTATAATTATGCTTCAAGGTATCAAAAGAGAAAACTCCTTTAAAGTTTTAGACAATGGCAAGAAACAAGTGTAAGCAATATTAACATTTAAGCTTCTTGCTACATGTACAGGCGTGAAGGCGTTATTTTGGATTGGATGCATTATGTGGCTTCCACTTTTCTCATTAACCTTTTAACTCTAGGAGTGATTAACATGTAACTTCTCCCCATAATATACCTACATTACCCAGCAAACAGGTAATGAGAATATTCAAACTTATCAGGTAGGAGTTGTTATCTTGATCTAACAAAAAGTTCTCAAAACTAATTTACAGGAAGTATGTAGCAGCTAAAGGCAGAATTCACTGTCAGATCATGGGGTTCCAGGGTTAAACAGTTTTTATAGCTCTTTTACTTGCAAAAGTCCGAAAGGGATCACATCAAATCAGATAACTGAGTATACTGTGAAATGTCGCCATCCATCGGGGTAGCTGAACCACCCAAAATTCTAGTTTCAAAAGAACCATCAGTTGTTTCAATTTTTTTCTTAATCTAAATACTTTATTCCCATAAACCTTTAACTCTCAGAACTGACAGACATGTAAATTCTCCCTATAATATCCATAAATTATCCAGTGAACGGGTAATGAGTTTACCCAAACTTATCAGGTAGAATTTGTTATCTTGATCGAACACAAAATTCCTATAACTAATTTACAAGGAAATGTGTAGTAGCCAGAGAGGAGAATTAACAATCAGATCTTGGAAGTTAAAGGGTTAAATACTGTGTTAATGGTTAAAGGTTAATTTTTTTCTTGCCATCAGACTCTTCCACTTTACGAGATCATCACATTGTGGATGGGAGCAAACTTCACTTATCTGTGAAAAAACAAAGTGAAGGAGCCAGCAGTGGAAATAACAGTGAATTTTTTGGATTACTGAGAGATCTTCTCAGAAGCCATTTTAGTGAACAGGACACTGAGCAAGTGATGAAAAAATTCAAGGAGGTTTGTTGTTATTTACACTCTTTACACACAAGATTTCATGTCAATCAACAGGAGACATTAGTGTTTGTTCACACCTTTTACTAAGGGATTTTGAGGCCTGCACTGTAAGTTATGGACCATGTTTTTCTGCCCCAGTTTTAAGGCTCAGGCCCAAATTGCATGGGCCAGAAGTTCCAAGAGGAAAAAAAAAAAACCAGGTTCTGTAGTTTACAATAGGGACCAAGAAATGAGGCTAGTGAGATATTTACTATATCACTGTGTTCAAATTCATGTAGGGGAGGAAGATTTCAATTAAAACAAATGTTTGAATTTAGCAGGCCATACAATTGAATTACAGGGATACCTTTATCATAAGCTGAGATATGAAGCATATACCCTGTAGAAAACCAAGAGTTGCTGGCTTCTTGATTGCTCCTGAAAATTTCTCAGTTGCTTCATTTCCTAAGCAGTGCAAAGCTCATGCCTGAAACAATTTTTTTTAAACCCCTTTTCACCCTAACATCAGTATCCATAATCTCCTTACTCTTCTCTGTATATTTCCTTTGGTATTGTAAGGGAGAATTTGTTTAAAAATCAGAGCTTCTAAATGTTAGTTTGGTTGTCGTTTCCTCTATTTTCATAATCATAAAGAATGATTCAGCAGTATGACTGTAAGAGGAAGTTAGATGCAGATCACCTTTAAGGTTTAAAGCATTCAATGTTTGGCATGTATGATCTGAAGTTCTCTCTGTTATGCTTCGACTTAGTCTAATTGGTTCACACACTTAATCAAAGTAAACAATGGGGTCATTAGCAGACTTGAGATAAAGGAATTTTATTACACAAGTCTAATTTCTCCTTACAATATCACCCCTGAATCACACAATTAGGTCGCAAGAAATAAGGAAATAATCACCAATTAAAGAAGGTCTTGATTGTTAAACAAATTCCCCTAGTCAGCATCTTACAAAATGTATATACAGAGCAGTATGGAGAATACACAGACTGGTGTTGGGTTATGAAGACTTAAAGTACTTACTGAGAAGTTAAACTTCCTTGTGTGACCACTTCAAGGAAGTAACCAGCTTCCCAAAATCAAGCCAGAAAGATCGTTGTTTCAAAATCTTGTGGAACACACCACACCAACCTCTATCTGTGACTCTGATCAACCTCTCTTATGTTTGCTGTGAGACTCGGAAAACTGTGAATACCTCAGACTGACACCATTTTCCAGCTTTTGGTTGATAAAATTCCCTTAGCAGGAAAGTGTGTAGTGAAGCCATTAACCTTTTCACTCCTAAGATCTCATTAGTAATTCTCTTTACTGCTTGCCTTATAATTCAATATTTTGCCCTGAGGAAGGGCTAACTCTCGAAATGTCAGCTTTGGAACTCTTAACAGTGGCAAATTTACATTATCAACTCAGTTGATAATACTTAATTACCCTGTTATAGTCTTCCACCAATGCAGCACCACAGTTTCTTTCGTAACTTACTGGCTTTAATATTTTCCAACTGATCCTTGTCATAATTATCATGCTTAATGTAATAACAAGTTTGCCGTTACGTAAATTTAACATCACTAACTGATTCATAAACAGAGTGGAAATGATTGAGCTTATGTGTTAACAGTTTTCTCTGTTTTATTTTCTACATAGGATTTCAAGACATGGGTTTGGTCTCTGAGCCTTGATGACATTGAGAGAATGGCAGCTCTTCATTTGAGAGAGGCATCTGATGAACAATGATGCCCCCCCCCTCCCCTAAATAATAAAGAAAAAAAAAGATGTAACACTGCAAAAAGACCAGTTTGCATAGTTTTTTGAGTATGTTGATGAACTGTGGCAAGTATTTTCTAGGAAGTTCCCCCTTTCTTTGGACTACAGGTCTCTTGGTCATGGTCTTTACAGAAATTTTTTTATGACAACCATGATATCACTACAAACTGACAGGAACATGGATGAAGCCTGTGAGAGATTTCTGATAAACTGTTAAGTTCTCAGTCCAAATTGTTGGTGTGTTTCCTCATGGAAGACAAGGAGAATCTAATGTTGCATTTATAGTCTATGTTTATTGGCACCTAATTTCAACCTCTTCAGTCAAAAGTCTTGTTAAAAGTACTGTTTAATTTTCAGCAAGGGATCCTGAAACTTTTACATTGACAAAGTTTTGGTTACGATTTTTATAGTTTACTAAGAGTGACTAGCATCATGAATCATAGGCATTAATATAATTAACTGTATTGTTCTCAAGATCTTAAAGTAACCAGGCTACTCAGCCTCCTGATATAAACATACAAGAATTCAGTTTTGAACAGATCGGGAAGAGTGGTAAAATGAGAAACTTGACTATGAGCCACATTGGCTTAATGTTCTTTGGCGATTATAAGAAATATAAAAATTGGCGTTACTGAAGCCGGTGTGACTGTCTTTTCTGTCTTTTTAGCCATAGAGTGGTTTCAGAGTTGCGTGACAGCCTGGGAGCTACTTAAGTGTTAAAATGAAAAAAATACAAGACAAAACAAAACAAAAACTAGAAAAAAAGTAAAGAGTTCCAATCCTTGTACTCTCTCTTTTTTTAAATTCCTTTGCAGGGGTTTCATTAACCATCTCCGAGTGGCTGCTCATGGTGTTATTGGCAGCTGAGCCCTTAACCCCTCATCCCCTTAACCCTTTAACTCCCAGATCAAATTTGTCATTCTCCTTACTATTGACCATACAATTCTTATAATGCCAGTTGAGAGAATTTAGTATTGGATCAACTAATTATCCTCAAATTGATATTTTTCTTTATTCTCATCACTCCTCTGATATTGTGAGGAGAAATTCTGTCTTGGTCACTCATGAGAGTTAAAGGGTTAACCCCTAAGAGTGATTAGTTATTATTTTCCCCAATCAGTATCACCCCTAAAAGAAACATTGAGGTCATGAGAATAAAGGAAATGATTACCAACTAAAGAAGCTTTTGATTGTTAAACAAATTCTTTTTGTCAGAACCATTAGAAATGTATAGAGAACAGTGTGGAGAAAATTTATATAGATGTTAGGGTGTAGGGGGTTAAAGAGGCAGTTGAAACCCAAACACGAAAGCCTGCCTACATGCTACACGGATGGAAGTAGGAGATCTTATAGGAGACAGGAGACCCCAGCTGATAACTGGATTTTATTGAAATCCTGCACAGTTATCTGGTGGGCTAAGAATATATATATATCAACCTGTTAACCCCTTAGAGTTACTGGCATCAAATTTCTCCTTACAATATCACCCCAGTTAATTCATGAGAATTTAGGGGCAAAAGAAACCATTGATTGTTACACAAATTCTCCTTGTCAGCACCTTAGGGAATGTATGAGAAACAGTATGGAGAATACTTTTACTGATGTTGGGGTGTAAAGTGTTAAGACACTGAACTATGACGCTGAGAATGTATCTTATTGGAATGAGGGTTGTCAAGTTATCTTGATTCTGTTTTCTCTTTTTTCTTTCTTTTTTGTTTATGTTTTGTTCCTTTATCTTGGTTCCCATCTGCCTTACTAATGGCGTGTGATAGCATAGGATGGATTTAAATGTAACCAGCGGTTATACAATAGACACTTCACGCTTTGTCCCCTAGAAGTGACTGGAACTTAAATTTCTCTTTACGCTGTCAACCCCAAATCACACATTAATGTCACATGTATAGAGGAAATGATCACCAACTAAAGAAGTTGTTGATCGTTAGATAAATTCTCCTTGCCAACTCTATGGGAAATGTCTAGAGAGCAATATGGAGAATATACTTACTGATGTTAGGGTACAAATTAAGGGTTAGAGCTGTTGTTATTTTGGATGGAATTGAGACATTGATATTTTTTAGTTTCTCCCTCTTTTGTATGTTTTGTATGTTTTGTATGAGGATTAATTGCAGCAGTGTGAATTATTTCCTCTTATTTTGGCCTAAAAAAATAAATGTTAACTGAAATATCAAAGAACAGCATCTGTTTTTAAAATAGAGTAGGTTACCTTAAGTTTATTTTTTGTTATCCTGCTTCATCAAATATTTGCACAAAGTGTAATGTCTTGTCTAGAAGCTGCATTGATACTGATGAGGTAAGACTGTGATTTTCCATTGAGTTCTTGCATTATTAACCCATCTATACATTTCTTTGGGTGCTGACAAAGAGAATTCTTTTCACAGTCAAAGCTTCTTGCGTTGGCGATCATTTCATTTTACTCTCGTGATCGTAACGATTGATTCAGCAGTAATAAACTGCAATGAGAAGTCTCTTAGGGTTTAACCCTTTAACTCCCAGGATCTGATTGTTAATTCTCCCCTCTAGCTGCTACACATTTGCTTGTAAATTAGTTGCAAGAATTTGGCGTTAGATCAAGATAATAACTTCCACCTGATGCATCTAAGTATTCTCAATACCTGTTTGTTGGAGAATGTATGAATATTGTAGGGAGAGGTTACTTTTGAATCACTTCTGGAGTTAAAGGGTTAAGGGTCAAAAAGAGTCGAACAGGGAGTTAAGTAAAACAGCCTGTATCTTTGATAACGACGTTTTTCGTCTTGTCACGAGCTTAGGACAAAGAAAAAATTTTCATGCTTTACCACTGAGCCACAGAGAATCCGTGGTGAGCAAGACTCATTACGAAGTTCATATATGAGACCCGTCCTGCATATTGCCAGGATCAGCGATGTAGATAGGGTCTTTTTTGTAAATAGAATTAAAGAGATGGTTAGTTTTTTAGCTCGGTAAAGAAATAAGGAGAGAAGTATTTCGATTTGTCACGAGCGTAGGAGAAAGAAAAAAAAATTATTCCGGATCCCTCTTTATCGAGCTCAAAGCTCAAACTTACCATCTCTCTTGTACTATTTACAAAAAGTGTATCCTGTATCGTTTTCATTTATTTATTTCTTTTTTTGTGCTTAATTAAACATTTGAAACTCCGCCTGCTATGGCAAACACCACTCCTCACCGTTCATTTCACTCATTTCATGACCTCTGAATGATAATTTATGCACTCTTGTGATCCAACAATATCAACATTTGCATTTGTCTAATGCATCTGTTAAAATCGTTGCTCAGACAATCTCCGTTATTATATATTTTTATTAAACCTGCTTGGTTTCGTGAACGTTGATTTAGGAAAAGACAACTGCGACCTTTTTCAGTCTCCAAGTTTAAAAATAAATAAACACAGCGAAATGAAGCCTTGGAATAGTTTTGATGGCCTTGGGGTCATTGGAATCATCCCACCCACCACTTTCACAGATATGTTTTTTAATTTTTGTTTGGTTTTGACAGGTGAATTCACACATGTGCTCGCTTTCCTTTTCTTTTATTTTTATTTTGTCGCATATTTCAAAAATAAAATTAAAAAGAGCTTAAAATAAGAACTTTTCAGACGAGAAGTCGTTTTGAGGGGGGTTTTTGAAGCTATATTTAGATACAGTAAGTTTTTTTTTCTTTTAAATATATATTGTAAAAAAATATCCAAAAAGAGCCGACAAAAGGTTAAATTGGCGGTACTCCTTTCGATTTCAACATCTCCACAAACATCATGCATAATTTACTGTGGTAAATAAAGAAACAGATTGCGACGTAACTTGTAAAAGCCCTATCTCAATTTGAGAGCTATATCAGACAATTTTGCTATCTGCTTTCTAAAATCGACGATCTTTTTATGATAATTACGCATTTTGTAGCCTAAAATTGTCGTGAATTTGACAAGGAAATTCACAAGACACTCACAAAAGCGAAAGTAATTTATGCAATGTAAACCAGTGTTGTGTTTCAAACAAGCTCTGATTGGTGAAAAGGAACAAAAGTTCGTATATACGCGACTATGATTGGTTAGTTGTAACAGCTGGCTGAATTGATTGACGTGTGATCACTGCGTGTGGAAGTTCTACTCTTGTAGCTCGTTCGTGAGTGGTGAAGAAAGGGAGCGAACAGCCACTCGTGTGCGATCTGCTACTCGCATTTTCGTTGGCTACTCTAACTCAAACGAAACACCGGCCAGCCAACAAAAAATCGAGAAAGGTTTGTTTTACCTTCACGCCCTCCACCAATAACATTTCTTGCCATTGAGATTCCACGTTTTTCACTTGAACTTTTCGAAGCGTTTCGAAGATTCGCGACGAGACGTGCCGCCGCGGTTTCGCTCACAAATTTGACTTCAAAATTTGTTTACATCGGTTTTTTCCGGGAGGTTTAAGCAGTCAAATAGCCCCCGTGGCTATTTTTTGTTTTGGAGGCGAGGGTTTGAAACCACTTAACGCCAAATAACATTCTTACTTTTGCTTTCTTATTTTGAAAATGGCTTTTCCAGTGCGTTGTCTCAACATCGACATTAGCTTATGGAGGGCGTTGAGGAGGCGAGAAACGAAAGTACAGATGGGCTAAACACTCAACCTCCTGACAGCGGACAAGCTAGCTTTGCCCAACCAGGACTAGCTACTTACGCTCAAGGGAGCACTGTTCCAAACGGACATGGCGTTCAACAAGTGATCGAGAACAGACCTGAAGTCCAAAACGAAACACATGTAGGTCTAGGAGATGATCGTGGACACCTCTCCATCTCCAATGTACCAGGTGGCGTTCAAGTCGCAGTTGTACCGGCTTCAGATGATGTGGGAGTCGTAGATGGAAGCTTGACAAACACCTCGGCCGTAGATCGAGGAGATGAAGCAACACATACCGTTGTAACAGCAATGCCCGCTGATTATGGGTTACCAGGGCCTCTACCGACTCAATTTGTCATTCAGCACGAAGACCACGAGGGTAAGAAAACAAAAATTATATTTGTTTGCAGTATTTTACAAGCTAATTACCTCTCGTGATGCATTTAGAGTTAACTTAATTACGAGGTCTGGAAAGGTGTTGATTTTAGCGGCCTTTTTAATGGTATCTTGTCAATTTCGTGTTCTTGTTTGTATTCAATTTCCGTTGAAGAAATCCTTGAAAACTTTATGCTTTACAAAACAAATATTTCGCAGTCGACCATGTTCTGTCAGTTAAAGAACTAGATACACTTTTATCGTGTCATTATCTAGAGTTTAACCAAATATTAACGGAACTTATTGAGATAGTTACCTCGATGTGAAAATATCTCTTGTGGAAAGATTCTGTGTCAATATTCTGCCGCCAAATTTGCAAGAAATATCACTCCATAGAAAATTTATCTCTAGTTTAATTCAATTTCACGATCACAAAGCTCACAACAATAGAGAACTTGAAAAAATTTGAAGACTTGGCAAACTTTCTCCCATGGTTAAGTTTTTGGTTTGAAAGAAGTACCTCGTAGCTGAATTGCTAAATCAATTCTAAATCTACCTGGCTGTTTAAGAAAATTGTATTCTTGCTTTCTCAGCTTTAAATTCCTAATTTTTAACAGACTAACATTTTTTGTATAAAATGATGGATTTGTAGAGTGAATGTTTTTAATATGGCTATGCTGCCAATTCTTCAGCCTCCATGGGATTCTTGGAAATAATTAAATTTCACTGTGAAAATATTGAAAGAAAAATGTTATTTATATCCTTTCTAAATTCCTGTTACCTTACCTGAACTCAGGTAAGACTGTTAAGTAAATTTTACAGGCAACAAGTGCCACTATTTACTCTGCCTAGAAATAGGAATAGGGGTTTAGAAGAACAACAGCAGGTGCAAAATTAGATAAAATAGGAAATGTTATTCATTCATCAGACATAAATGGTTTTAGGCCTGGGGTTTTCATGTAAACAAGTGTCATATTTTGTTAAAATTTGCTCCTTTCCCTCCCCACCCTGCAAAAATAGTGCTCTTTTAAAATTGTGACTTGGTTACAATCAGTAAACCAAAAATTTTCCCAAAATCTTATCAGACAGAGACTTGATCACCTTAATTGCATTGGGTTCATAAAGAAATGTGCAAATTAACTGATCCTAGCCTTTAACTCTTAAGTCTAATTATTAATTCTCCCCTCCAGCTGCTACACATTTCCTTGTAAATGTGGTATGAGAATGAAGTTTTAGATCATGATAAACACTTCTAACTGATGAGTTTGATTATTCTTATTACCTGTTTGTTGTAAAATGTAGAGATTTATAGGGAGAAGTTATATGTTTATCAGTTAAAGGGTTAAAAGGTTAAGGATGACTGGATATAACTGAGTGACACTGATTTCAAATAAGCAAGTTGAAAAATTTAACATGTCTATAGTGTGGCATCGTAACTGGGAACTTCATGGAAAGATCAACCAATGTAACAAAGTGTTTGACTTGAAGCAAGTTTAATACAGTGCATACATTTAATTGGTTATTTTTAAGGTTGATGTCTGTCTGCCAATTGCAAATTACCCCGACTCCTTCCATATATAAGTTGCAGTAGAAATGATTCTGGGTTTTTTTTCTTTTTATTTGGGAAGTCTCCTCTACAGATATTAAAATAGACTTGTACTTTTATAATTAAAAATTCTAGTGTGCCAGTAATTTTGCTTCTAAAACAGTCTTAATTTCTCAAACTTTTAGTTTTACAAAATTCCCAATGTTTTGTATAAAAAATGGCTTTCTTCCTCAGTGAACAATGTAAGCTCACTCCTAATTTTTAAATCTTGCAATAATCTAAACTAATTTCTTTTACCCAAGGAATTTTTGTTTTTCATGTTTGGACGCAGTTCAGTTGACATGTGCTTTATGAAGTTTTCATTTCCCTTTTATTTTGTCTGACAGTGTGTTGCTGGCAGGAATATTAAAGGATTTGAAATATTTGTTTTTGAATATATCTTGTTTCCTGCATGGAAAGCTTTTTTTCCTAGATTATTTTGCTATAAATATTTAATTCCATCTGCAGTTATGGTGCATTGTGTTCTTATAAAAATTTGATGATTGTCTCTGTAAAGCATTTTCTTTCTTTTTCAGAATAAATTAAATAAATATTTGTTAATTTTCGTTACTGTACTCTCTTACTGTGATATTCTATTTGTGTAAAACTATTTAAAAGCTTTAGTAACCAAATATAAATGTTAAAAGTCCAGAAGAAACTACAGTCAAAGTAAGCATATACTTTTTTAGTTTATGTTAGAGCTTTGTGCCTAAAATTATCACATTTGTTACCCACTGTGGTATAAATTATATATTACATACAAAATACAATAAATCAGTGTAAGGAATAGGGCATTCCATCAGAACTGGCCAATAAGGTCTTGCGATAAAAGTACTAATTTGTTTTCATCAGATAAACTTTCTTGATACAATTTCTCAAAGGCCTAATTGAGTAATTAGGCTCCCTTGATTAAATTTTCAAGGCTGAAAAGGATAGTAAACGTATTTGGAAATTCCCAGAATCATGAATATGAACATGGGGTATAGTGGCGGTTATCCGATGATGCCGTTTGATCCAAATTTTCCACCACCTTTTAACCCTTTTGCATTTCCAAAAGGTTAGTGTTCCGTCTGTTTTTTCCAGCATTTTGTGCTGTGCCTTGTTTGGCACATTGTAGGAGTTTTTTTCAGCAAGGTGAATTGAGACATTCCTCATTGGCTGTCGCTTTTGATGAATTTGTCCTGGTTCACCAATAATTCAAAGAACTTTCCACATACTTCCAATCATCTTCTAATGGAGTTTATGTTCTAAAGGGTTATTCTGTGAAATAAGAAAATTTTCTTCCTGTCCAATAGTGATGGCAAATCTTTGATGCTTCCCAATCAGTTTTGAGAGCAGCTTTGTGGTGTTCATTGTGTGTGCAATCTTGTCAGTAAAACTGGCTCTGATTTGAAGAAAAATTCATCTTTGGTTTTCCTAGATTATCTTCCTGTTATGAATTGGTATTGTTGGTTTTGCTTTTGGGAACAAATTACAAGAATTTTCAAGCATATCCAAAGACTCCATAGTGCATTTTTTTTCATTTAACTTTAACCACAAGTAAAATTATTTATGGCTTACCCACATTTTCACAATTGATTTTGTCAAGATTTTCTTACAATATTTGCAAAATGATACAAAGGGTGAAATCTATGAAGTTCAGTTTTGAACTGCGAGGAGTAAAACTTGATCTTCGGAGCAACAAAAAAATTCCTTGATTTTCTTCAATATTGGGACAACATCTTTCCATGTATTCCTGGTCCATCTGTTTAAAGGAAAGAGGATTTTCTTAATCACAAATTTTGATTAATTGTAGGAAATGTACTTAGAAAAATATGTTTTTTTGTTTCATCATGAGCGTGGGACAAAGAAGAAATCTGAGTGCCCTTGGGGGACCTCAGACCTTTGCACTCCACGCTCTGATGCTCTACCACTGAGCCGCAGATACTCTATGGTGAGCAATCACCATTACATAGTTCATATACGACACCCGTCCTGTATAAACTGCTAGGACTTTAGTGATGTCAATAGCATTATGTTTTGTAAATAATATTTACAAAATATAATATATATTATGATATATAAAAATATGATAGAATATGGAGACTTGGAACTTTTTCTTTGCCCAGGCTTGTGATAAGACGTGAAAGCATCTTTTTCTATTTCTTTACTGAGCTCAAAACTTACCATTTTTCTTATTCTGCATGAAATGTGTAGTTAAAAACTGAATGTGCTCAGGTGCATAGTATATAAAAGCTTTGTTTGAAATGCCACACTGTAGGGTTTTATTCAAAATTCTAACCATATTGATGAAAATGAATTACAAGATAATTATTAGTATAAAAGTGCGAAACTTGTTGTCCTTTGCACCTTTGGGTCTTGTGAGTCCACAACATTTTGACCACTGTGATGAAGAATATTGTTGTCAACAAGAATACAGATCACTAAACCACTGTCTGTTGTATTTTATTACGGTATTGATTTCAAATAAAATGATTCTTTCAGTGCGTGACCAATGAATGACAGGTTGATGCAAGCAGCATTGTCTGTATTTGGATTGTGACATTACTGCCAGTTGTAGTAAAAAAAAAAAAAAAAATGAAATCAAAATAATTGTTAGTACATCAAGTTTACAATGCTAAAGTATGTTGTCCTTTGCACCTTAACAGGAGCAGAAGACACTGGGGTTCATGATGTGGATGGTGACGAGAAGGAGCGTGATGACATTCTTAGAGAGCAGGTAATTTGTTAAGAGATATTTGCTAGCTCTCCGGTGGTCAATGCACAGATCTGGTCCAAGGGTCTGGGTTTATTCCATGGCGGGGGCATTGTGTTGTTTACTTGGGAAAGACCCTTTGCCTCTCTCCGCTTTAGAGTTTTCACAAAGTCATGGATTTATTGATTTATTTACCAGTATTAGCAATATTTATGCAGGCTGGCCCAGTTTCTAAAGCTTCAAGCTGATTTGAATGAGGGCCTGCTTAAGACATATTACTTAACCCTTTAACTCTCATGAGTGACTATGACAGAATTTCTCCTTACAATATCAACCAGATAAGTGATGAGAATACAGAAAAATATCAATTTGGAGATAATTAGTTGATCCAATACTAAATTCTCTGAACTAACATTATAAGAATTGTATTGTTGACAGTAAGGAGAATTACAAATTTGATCTGGGAGTTAAAGGGTTAAAACAACATGTATTTAGAAATATAAGATACAAAAGGAGCCCACAACACAAATTACAATCTACACATAAGATATACAATTTATGTTACATATACAGAGTACATTGCATCAGTTACTAAATGAAGTTTGAGAAGTTTCTTGAAATTGGGTGGTGAAGTTGTTTATTAGTTTACTAATCAGAGTATTCCACGCCTATGCACCTTTGTAGCAAAAAAAAGGAACCTTAAAATTTTGATGTTTTAGCCAGGGTAATCATATAAGGTCTCTATGTCTGGTATTGTTGGCATGATATTGGCAGGAGCTAAATTCATTCAAAAGATAGGCAGGTGCAAGACTGTGTAGGCATTTAAACACTTGTAGGCAAGTTTGATGTATCCTTGTGATTTTCTAAGGAAGGGGAGTTAAAAGTACTGCTGGTATTTTCTACTTTATGCCCTTTGATGATATGAGCTGCTCACAGTTGCAATTTGTCCAATACTGGTAAACTGTTTGGGAACTTGAGAGAATGTCAGTGTTAGGTGTGCTGAGGGCTGGAAAACCACCCAACAATACACAGTAATCTTAGTGGCTTCTTGATTTTTAAACAGGGATACAAATGTACACGCTCTACTAACACAAGCCAGTCTATGCTTGTAAATACTGTCAACTTTTTCCTTCATTATCTTCTTATTGTGAGTTATAAAGAGAACACTCCTGATGACTTCTCTTGTTTCAACACAGCTTAGTTCAAATTGGTATTTATGATTGTCGAGAGGGCCACCCCTTCCTAAGGAGGTCATTGCCCCTCCTGTGAAATTTTGAAGGTGTTGACTCAGCAAGACTTTAATAGAAGTATATACATATGTATGTTAGGGGTTAAAAGACATTAATGTAAAGGCTACAAGCAGGTTTCGTGCACATTACAAGCAGGTAGATTGATCTACTTGCTTGCTACAGTGTAGCTGCTATTGACATCCTAGTTGCTTGTTGCTTGCTAAACAGCCAATGTGCATGTAAATGTACATTTGTACAACTGATTTTGTATCTCCACAGCGTGATCTGATTTATCCTTTTGTATTCAATGTTTTAGTTTCTGTGTGAATTGTGGGTTCTAAGAGTTGGCTGGCTGGTCTTGACTTTAATTTATCATGGAAGAGTCTGCAGTTATATATTATTTATTATTATTTTTTAATCCTTTTCAGGATCGGTTTCTACCAATTGCAAATGTGGCCAGAATAATGAAGAAGTCCATTCCAAAGACAGGAAAGGTATGGATATATAATTAAACTTTCAATGTGATAACGAACACAATTGAGCAGCCTTCAACCTGTTACACCCTTACATCAATATCCATATTCTCCTCGCTTTGCTTGTTACATGGTTAATGGTGTTGACAAGGAGAATTTGTTTTAAAACCCTTTACACTTAAATATCAGTATACATATTCTCTTTATTGTTCTCTATACATTTCATAAGGTGCTGACAAAGAGAATTTGTCTAACAGTCAATAGTTTCTTTAGTTGGTGATCATTTGGTTTGTCATCATGACCTGAATGTTTGATTCAGGGGTGATATTGTAAGAAGAAATTAGATGCTAATTGTGCACTTTTAGGGGTTAATAATGGTATTAGGACCAAGTGGAGTCCAATTTGGTCTGTAATGTATGAGTGATGAACAAAATTGGATGACCGCAAAGCAGGAGGATGATTTTTTAATCACAAGTATGATTACTGGTGGAATTGGATGACACAAAGTCATGTTACTGATTAATCATAACCATTACAATTTCTGAAGACAACAAATACGTATAGGACAAATATCTCCGTAAGAGAAAATGTCTGAAGTAAAAAATTCTTTAATTTTGGAAATTTCACAACTTTTTTTTCTTTTTTTCTTTTTTTTTTTTTTGATAAGTGGTTGTTGCATTGGTTATTGTGAACAGCTCTGTGATTGGTGGATTTGGTTTAAAGGACTAAGTATGATTGACTGCTTCTACTGTCTGATTACTCTTCTGATTACACTCTGCAGAGTGATTAGTGAAAAAATAAAGCAGCTAATGCACTGATCACTTTTGAGGAAATTGTAATGTTATGATCAATGGGGTTAATAGTCAAAAGCTAAGGAAACTAGGATATGTTCTTGCAGTGTTGGCCTCAGATAGTCCAGGGTTTTTGTAAATCTTGTATGTTTTGACTTTGTACATTTATTTGTTCATTCCAGATTGCTAAGGATGCCAAAGAATGCGTTCAAGAATGTGTGTCAGAATTTATAAGCTTCATAACCAGCGAGTATCCTTGCTAGCCTGAATATAAACATATTTTGGTAATCGATCTTGAAATTGAATCATTAGTTAATTGTGTGGTACATTTGTCAAGACTCTAATGATGAGGCTGATGATAACCTCCACTCAGTTTGTCTAAACTTTGGTCACTTCCAACCACAATCCCTCTGAGGAACTCTCTTACTTGGATAATCAGACTAGGTTTACCTGATCAACTATTAGTTCTAGGTTAAAATCATTTATTGGAATTTTTTTAAAGTAACTATAGGGTAGTTAGAGAAGATAAGTGTGGAGCATAATTCCTCAATATGTCAGCGTGGAATGTTTTATGCCCTAATTCATGTCTCTATTTTGTTCACTGGGGTTCTAGTTTTTCAGTTTTATTTGTTTGCTGGAAGAACTTTTTCCCCTCCACAAATACTATAGTACTCTGTGAATGTTGACATATGATAAAAATCAAACTGACCTTAACTGAAGCACAGGGCAAGTGAACGATGCCATCAAGAAAAACGCAAGACAATCAATGGAGAAGATATTTTGTTTGCCATGCAAACTTTAGGATTTGATAATTATGTGGAACCTTTGAAGCTCTATTTACAGAAGTACAGAGAAGTGAGTCGTACTTTTTTACGTTTTGTATGTTGTACATGGCAGTTACCTATACAAGTTAACATGGTTTTATCAACTGATGACTTGATAATGTAGATTGGCCACAGTAAAGAGTTGGTAAAGCCTTAGAAACACTTTATTGTGGCCAATTCATATTGTGCTTACTCCTTCACTGATGCTGCACCACAGTTTCTTTAGGAACTTAGTCCCTTTAGTTCTTAATACAGTTGAGTACAGATACTGTAACTTGGTTCCCAAGCTCATTAAGCTTATTTGTTGTAGGTTTTATTGCAACTTTACCCCTGATAAAGTGAACCCTGATGTCTCCAATCTGCTTCCAACTTGAGGCAGTGTTTGTTCTCTGTCAGGTCATTTTCTATGTAATTTTTTCCTTGACATCTCAAACCCAGTAGAGATGTTCATGGAAGGTCAAAACAAATGGATTGTAGGTCAGTGTTGTGCATGACTTCACAAGTGACAGCTTTGCTGCTGAGCAATTGCCAGCCCAAAAAGAAAGAAAAATAGGTGATCTCCACTTTTTCATCTAGCAAATTTTCCAGTAGTTAGCACTGATAGCCACAACACTAGGGTTTGTACCAAATGTTTAGCTTTGGAGCAGCGATTGTAACTCTGTTCTTTGCTTTGCTAATTCCATGTACACTTCTTGCAGTCAATCAAAGGGGAGAAGTCAGCTATGGGGACTGATGTAAGAGAAGGAGAGGTGGATGAAGAGGAACATGCTGTGCATCAATTTCAAGTGGCAGGTGAGAAAGTGATAAAAATTTAAATTCTCCTCTTAATTTAAACTCTTATTCAACAGAAGGGTGATGAGAATACACACATATATAAAGAAGAGAATGTTACTTTGATGTAAAACCAAATTCTCCACTAATTTACAAGAAAATGGATAGAAGTTGTTAGGGAGTATTACAGTTTGGATCAAAGGTGTAAAAGGGTCAACATTTGTAACTGAGTAACAAATCTCAAAGACACTTGTGGTAATTAACTGACATGATGGTTGCCTTTTTTTTATGTGTTTTTTTTAGGTACCCACCTCCATCCTTCAATGATTGGAGCAGACCAAACTCCAACGACAATTTACAGCTCTCCTCAATATCAGACAACGGTAAGATGGACAAATTTTATCTCTGAGCATTCATTTTTTCCTGTCAAAAAAAAAAAAATGAATTGCAACATCTGCAATGTCGGTTAAGTAAAAAATAACTATCTTCTTAAAATAGAGAGACAAACAAACAAGCAAAAAACCTTTGAAAAAGCAAGTTGATACAGCATCTGCTACCATGATAGGATTATTATCTTTACAAAAGGAACTTAAGATATGAATTGGATGCTCAGTGCATTCTGTGAAAAACAGATGAACGTGCACAACATGTAACATAAGTCTTGGTTATATGGTGCCACTCAAGATTGATGCAATGCAATGGTCTGTTTTAACAAAGCTAAATCAATTAATCAGCATAATCTGTTTAGGTTGAAGTGATTTATTCAATTTAAATATTTGTTTGGTTTTTGTTTTCAGATGCAACAGCCTCTGCATTTTCCATGATTTGAACACCCCAGACAGCGTTTGACTTGCCCACTACAAATGGATATAACATAAGATAAGATGTACATAGTGCAGCCTACAAGACATAGTTGAAAATGTTTGTTATCCCCTCCCATTCTATATCTAAAGAGAGAGATTTTTTTTATACTTGTTTGCTTCATTTAAGACCAGCTTGTTTGTCAGACTGCAATCCAGCCAGCCTCCAACTGATATTCAAATGGGTTTAATCTTTGTTAGTCTGGTTTGAGGGTGTACAGGGGGAACTTTTGCACAATTAAGGTCCCATCAGTATGACGTTGACAAATCAGGCTGACTCAGTCTATGAAATCTCATTTTGCCAGTATTCCTTTACCAAGAGGGTAGCAAAGGGGGAATCCTGATTCCAGTTTCACACTCAGATTTTTCACACCTCATAAATCACCTCATGTACATAAATTGGAAAACTTCAAATCTCTCTCCTTGTGTGTGAGGTTTCAGAAAAAATCTTGAGGTTTTCACCAAATGAACAAAAAGTTCACAGGTTGCTTACATTTCAGGAGGAAAATTACGCCTCATGCTGGATCATTAATCCACAAATCATGTTGATCTTCTTTTGTAAAATTCATACTTCGCATTAATTTTGGCCTTATCACATTTCGCTTATAAACCCTTTGGCACCCTCTACTAAAATCTCTAAGTTTTTGTGGGAAGGTTTGTTATCCTCAAGCTTTGTTTTTCAGTCTGTGACCTTGTAAACTAGTCTAAAATTCCCCTGTGGAACACATAACAAAATTTGTCATCCTAACACAGTCTCTATGGTTACTGGGCTTAATTAAAGAGAGCAAAAGAGGTGAATGTTGCAAAGAGGTTTAACAAGAGCTTGGCTCTCACATCTCTCGGTATGTAAGGGAAAAATATGTAGTCGTCCAAGAATCAGATTCTTGGACGACTAAATTCTGTCAACAAGGGTTCTGTCACTTTGGGTGTTTGCTGTTCATTAACTGTCGCAACTATCACACTTTGCAATGAACAAAACAGGGCATGTATGTTCAGGCAGTTTCATGCTGTTATGGTGTGAATTGTAGCATACAACCAAATCATTGCTGGTTCTATATTTTGAAACACATTCAAATTATTATGGTAAGTCTAGCCTCGTGTATGAAGGTGCAAATTCTCCTTACTCGTATTTACACATTGTCAAGCAAAGATGTGGTGAGAATGGAGATTGCTGTTAACTGAAGGAGGCGTTTGTTATATCATTCCGTTACCACTTTTACTCCCAAGATCTTAAAAGTAATTCTCCTTACTGTCTGCCATAAAATTCGTTTGAAATTAGTTTGGAGAGTTTGGTATTGGATCAAGTAATAGTCCCCTAATTGGCATTTTTTTTCTTTTTCTCATCAATTTTCTGCTTGTTATTGTATTGATCTTGTAAGTAGAAATTCTGTTTGTCACTCGTGGGAGTTAAACGGTTAGGTGACGTGGAATTTGTTTGAGTGGCAGTTACTTCGATGAAATAATAGTGAGATCCTAGGGGGAAAAAATTGCTCATCGCATCAGTCCCTCAAAGCATTATGTAAATAATTATCATGATATAAATAAAACCTTAACAAAAAGAAAGAGAAAGATATGTGAAGAGTGTATTTATCTTTCAGTGGTGATTTTATTTCGTGTTGGCTGCTTTGTAAACTTTTAGGTGGCCCGCGGGAAAATTTTTTTTTAGAAATATACCTCGGATTATTTAGAGTATAAGAATTATTTGGTTGGCTGTAATTTTACTGTAGTTCTGTATAACTTTGTCTTCGGTAACAATTTCGAAATAAACCATACAAAGCATACATTTGCATTCAAACTCATTGCTCCCGAGCAGTAATACTGTTAGGTTTTATTGTCCTCGGTTTGTCCATGGGTTTTCACCGTGGACAAATGGAGGATGATGATAAAGCTTTAATAAATTGGATGAAGGGTGATCCATGGATAACAATAAAACTATAATATATTGTTATGGGTTTGCGTCGAAATATCACTGACGCCTTTCACTTAATCATTCCTTTCTTAACTCAGACTTCGTCAATTTCTTCGTCCATACGTATGCTTGTCTTTCAGTTTATTTTCAGTTGTTTGTGTCGGAGCGCCCTATCGTTCGTCCGTGCGTTTCTTCATTCTTCTGTTTTCTTTCCGCCACCTCGTTCTTCAGTCCGGGTTTCCACTTTTTAGTTAGTTCATAGGTCTGTCCATCGTCCTTTTATTTATTCGTCTGTTTTTCATTCCGTCAATTCGTCTGTTCGTACATCTGCTTCCTTTTTTTTTTTAATCATTTGTCTGTTTTTCCATCAGAGCTCTCGTTCATTCGTCCGTATGTTCGTTCATTGACTTTGTTCGTGCTTACGTCCGTGTGTTCGTTCATTGACTTTGTTCGTGCGTACGTCTGTGCTGCGTTCACTAACTTTGTGCGAGCATCCGTTCGTTCATTTGTCCGGTCGAGCGTTCGTGCGCTTCTTCGTTGGTGTGCTCGTTCGTGCATTTGTTTGTTTATTCATTCGTCCGTTCGTGCATTCGTTCCGTTCGATGTTTATTTTCATCAGTTCTGACGTCCGTTTGTGTGTTGTGTTTTGGTTGAGTTTTTCGTTCATTGTTCGTTCCTTCGTCCTGTTCTGCATTGTGTTTTCGTTAGTTCGTTCTCCGTCCATTTGTCCGCCTGTTCGTCCATCCGTTTGTTTGTTTTTCGTCCGTGCGTGCGTTCGTTCTTTTGTGCCTTCACTCGTCCATCCACTCGTCCGTCCGCCCGTCCGTCAGCTCGTTCGTCCGCTCGCCGTCTAACTGTCCGTCGGCTCGTCCATCTGCTCGTCTGTCTGCTCGTCCGTTCGCTCGTCGGTCAGCTCCTCCGTCCGCTCGTCCAATCGTTTGTGCTCGTTCTTCCGTCCGTTCAATAAGATACTTGTGAAACTGGCCAAGTTGGATAATTTGATCCCCCCAAAAGTAAAAGACGTTAAGATCATAAAACACAATGACACTCTCCCATCAAATGTAATTCTTTAATTCAAAATACATGTGGCAAGATGCAATTTGCGTTTTGTGGTTTGTTTTGTGATGAGCAAGGTACCAAACCGTCGTCTGTGTCTTTTTGCAAGGCAGATAAAAACAAAACGTAAACAGATTAAGGTAAATGCCATATTTAATGGAAGATGAAGGAAACTGGAAAACACTGCACAAGTTCTTGAGATGGTTTGGTTGTTATTCCTTAGAATCTGTTCCAGTTTGTGATCATATCCTCAGGAGAAAAGTAAGTTATTTCATCTCTCTTTCGGCTTAGTTCTGAGCTGCACTTTCCCTTATCATCTAGGAATGGAAGATTAAGAAAAACACGCGGGTTACGTAATGTGCGACGTAAAACCAGAACCGTTACTATCACAACGGCCAATCCAGAAAAAAGGAAAATATCACAAGCCAATGAGACTTCCAATTAAAGCAAAGCAAACTGATTGAAGTGCGGGAAAACAAGTGAGGCCAAGCACGATTGGTGAAGTTTCCCCATTTGATTGGTTTAAGTGATAACAAGAGTCTCTTTACCAATTAGAGTGCAAAGTAGAGCAAAAAAAAAAATCGCGGATTACTTTCGTCAGTCAATTGAGAATTGCCATTTGACTAATAGGTACAATTTTTGTATGCTCACCTAATCTCGCGAAAACTGCCACTTCACATATCGCCAAGTATCCTTTGCCTACCATACTGACGGAGACGTATTGACCTGGGATCGGCACCTTGCACTCTGCTGTCCAGACCTCCCCCTCCGCCAGCTGTCGGACTTGGTCCCCGCACATTGGATTCTGTTTGTGATCTTTTAGGATTCCGACGCGAACTTCAAAATTTGACAATGGACTCGAGAAATTGCCTGAAAAAAAGGTAATTTATGAACGGAGAGAGGTATTGGCTGTCCAACAAGTACAGGAAGACATATTTGATATTGAGATCTTAAGGTGGAAGTCTTCAAGAACAGGAGATTGCAAGCAGCATGTCGCAATTTGCGCTCTGGTATGTAGCATATGCTCGCATTTTGTCACTAGAGATTTTCGGGTAGCTCCTGGTTGAAAGGCTTTCTTGGACTTTTTTGCTGGTTTCGTTCTCATGGCAAATCATAGAGAATGTGTTGGTCAATCAAGGCTGTTACAGCGCAAGTTCTTCATCAGACATTGATTTACAAGCGACTGAGAAGGTTCAAAAGTGAGCTTGCTACTTCGCCTGAAGACAGAGCAGGGTGATAACCAACAAAACCCTTAAATGCACATCAAAGCTTCATTTAGCAAGATGTTTAAATTTGATCTAATAACGCCTACCAGATGAGCTGACTACATTCACATCTGTGACAATGTGCTCGCTCTGCAGATCCACTTTCCACCATGGGTCAACTTCAATGGCCGTAATCGAGCAGGAGCCCGCAGAAGGTTCTGTAGCCATGTTACCATCCACAGCCAGTTCTGGGCCCACCCCAGGAATGTTTACTTTCTTGCCTTTGGACTCACTTTGTAACTCATCAACGGACATCAAACTGGATTGCAGGGCGGGCTTTCCAAGAGCGATGTCTAAATTGGTAAACATTCATCGGCGTCAAATTTAATGGCAATGAATATAATTTTTCAATCATTTTCCCACTTCCCTTTCTTTTTCCTGTTTCTTTAACATTAATTCTTAAGCCATGATAGTAAAACAACTCACCAGGAACATGTTTGTCGCAAACCGAGAGGGCCCTAGGATCATCATATATCATCCAGGCCTGCTCATCCTTCACGGTTTTGTCGTCACACTTGAGCAACTTGGCTTCTACTACACCTGATCCTGTTTTTCCCGCTAAGAAATGGTAAAAAATAATTGGAACATAAATATGAATTAGATTGTTTTGTTATGCTATTTCCAAGAAGTCTCATAAGGAGCTCAGACACGCGTAAGCTTCCTACCACAGGCAATAGACCAAAAGCGTTTGGTTCGTGCAGTGCAAACTCTCTCTTGTATTTTTCTCGATTGAAGGAGCGATATCTTGCTTTTACTAGACCATAGAGTTAGTGAAGTTTTAGCGTGCTCCCAGTATATCGATTATTTTACATAACTGAATGAGTTATTACCAGATCCCGTCACGCACAATCCAGAATCCTTCACAGGTGTAATCTTAGTGCCGTTACAAGTGAACTTCTGCTCCTCAGAGGTGACGTCACAAGCTTGCTGTAACACAAGAGCTTGACCTTGATCTGAACCCATAGCTGCACACAGACCAGACTTGACATTCTGATGAATGCAAAAGTGAAATCAGCGAGATGAAAGCAGTGTCAGGAAAGAACTTCAAAACATTTCACGTTGAAATCTCACTTAAGGTTAAGTTTTTGGCGTTTTTTTTCCTCAGTCAAAAAGAAACAAAAGGAAGTGACCCATAGATGCAGAGCAACCCTCTCCCGAACTTCGGCATAGCTTAAGATCAGTTAGAAGAAAAAATTAAACCACTCTTAGTTCGTATCCCATTTGCAGACCTTCCATTGGTTACTTTGTAGCAAGACCTACCATCAATCCTCCTGTGAGTGTAAATACCCACTGGGACACATCCCCATCACAGGAGCCCAAAGTCACAGGAGAACCAACTTTTGCGCTAGCAGGAGAAGACAAGCAATCCTTCGTGCCATTCATCTGGATTCGGAATTCACCTACATTGGATAAGTTTTAAGTGTTTTTAAGAAGAGGCCAGAACAACTTAATTATCTTTCTGTCAATCAGAACCAAAGACCAGAATTTCTCAACCAGCGAACTTATTTCAATCATTCGGACGGCCAGTTAAGCGTCTATCAGTTGAATATCTAATAAAACATCCGTCAGGTAGTCGGTCAGTCAGGAAATCAGTCAGTAAGTCTGTCAGTCAAGAAATCAGTCAGTCCGTCAGTCCGTAAGTCATGCAGTGATTCAGTCAGTCAGTCAGTCTATCAGTCGGCCATTAAATCAGCCGGTCTCCTTGTCTGTCTTTCTATTAGCCAGCAATAGATCCTTCGTTTTTGAAATTTCTACGGATGTATTTTTCTTGCACACACACCTGAAAATTCGAAATCAGATTCTTCTGCTGGCTTATCATAAACATCCTTGGAAGGTCGAGGACTAAACAGCTTCTTAAAGAACTCCAGAGCTGTGTCTGCCAGTTTATGAACATTCTTTAGGGGATCAGCCAGATTAAATTCTAGTTTAAACTGCCCCCTAGAGCCAAAAATGCTAACATCAGCCCCAAGAGACACGGTAGAATCAAGAGGAGTGGATGTTAGGTGAGTCTCGAATGATAACGAGTGAACAACAAGCATATTCTTAGCCGCTTTTACGACAGCTTGCTCGGCCCAGTACGCTTTTTGTTCCAGCACGTGAAGACCGTAAACGGCAAGGTCGAGCGCCTGGCACATTCCTTTGGTAATGTGGCCGACAATATTACAGGAACCTGGAAAAAAATTGTATGTAGTTATGTCATTAAATAGTCTGCTAGACTTTATGGCTCTCAGAGAGGTGAGCAAGCAGCAGTTCAAAGAATTAAAACTATAGTCTGCAGTTAGTTTAAACTGACTGATATACCTCTCAGCAACCTCCGAGACTGAGCTTTATCCGTTCAGATTTATGGCCCATGCGCCAGCGGAAGCGCGTTGACCATAAATCCGCGCAGAAATTTCAGGTTCCGTAACTTTAAGATATTTATTATATTTTCGGGTTCAAATAGGGAGAGAAGATTTCAATTTAAAGAAATTTTTTTAATTTAGCCGGGGCCGTACGGTAAAATACAGCCGGCTTAATTGACCAATCAACGTGCACTTGCTAACTGAGAGACGTAGCAAGGATATTTATTTACAAGGTACAAAGATGTATGGTTTCCTTTAGGGCTCAATATTACCTTCGACGTTTGGGAAAAGCAG